ATCACAATATTAACAGGCTTAAGGCAAACAAAGGTAGATTTGATTTACTTATGGATTTCGTAAAAGAGAAAAAAATAGATATTATAGGGCTAGAAGAAATCAACATCTCCAAAATTGAAGGTTCTCTTCTTACTAAAAAATATGAGAGGTATCATAGCTTTTGGATAACAGTAGACGAACAAAAGCAAAAGGGGTCAGGAGTAGGAATTATTATAGAAAAAAGATGGGAAAACAATGTAACTAGATTAAAAAGCATTAACCTATATATATTAGAGTTAAGGCTTGATTTAAAAGACTAAAGCTATATATCATTGCCTTGTATGTAGCACCTAATAATCAGGAGATATAAGAAGAGATATACAAATATCTAAAAGAAAGATTAGATACTCAAGAGCACAAACTAATCAGTATCATAATTTTGAGTGATTTTAACATAGACACCCTAGCAATAGAAGAAAACCAAATAAAGGAAAAAGAAAAAGCACTATCACGAACACCAAAAAACAAGAAAAAACAAATTATAGATCTTATAAAAAAGAAAAATCTGATTGATACACTCAAGATAGCGAACCCCCAGGAATATATAACAACTTGGGCAGGCAGAGGTAGTGAAACAAAAATCGATTATATTTGGGTATCTCAAGGCTGGAGCAGAAGTATAATCACAAGCAAAGCATATGAAGCTGAGCATATAACAGCAAATGATCACAAGTTACTTTTAGCCAAAATAGAAACAGGATTATACGAGAGAAAAGTACCTTTTGCAAGACTTCGCAAAAAAGATTAAGCTAGGGTCTGTATAGATCTTAAAAAAATAACTGAAGAGAACTGGAACAATTATAAAGAAAAACTAGAAAAAAAATTAAAGAAACTCTTTGGAAATAAAGAAAAAGGTAGAGAACAACAACAACTACCTAGCATAACAAACTTACAAAAAAATATAGACCTCGGTGAAACCTGGGAAAAAATACAAAAAGCAATTCAAAAAGTGGCAAAAGTACACTATCTAAAAAAAAAAAAATGCCTAAACTTCAAGACCACCAAATTGAAAATGAGGAGTTGAAGGATTTGAGGAAAGATATAAGAGTAACGGAAAAATGGTGTTGTAAACTCAAAAAACCCTCATATTTCAAAGATACAACAAACTCATATGAAGAGCAGGTGAGCAAGGAAGCAAGAGAATGGCTAGCAGTATTAAAAGACAAATATGTAGAAGATCAGTCCGAAGCAGGTACACAAAATTGCCAAGAAGAAACGAATGATAGAAGAGAGCTTGAGATATGGTGGAAGAGCCTTTACAAAACATGGCAATCAAAAAAGAGAAAAGCAGAGGAAAAAGAAATACAAGAACATATTGAAAGAAGGCATGCGATAATAGTAAGCAACCAAAGAAAAATGATCACTAGCCTATTAGAAAAACCATTCAATAAGCTAAAACTAGACAGAGTAGTAGTAGAGAGGGAAAACGCAGAAGAGAAGCTGATACACAAGCCTCAAGAAGTGCTTAATGTAGTCAAAGACCACTTCCAAAGGCAATGCAGAGAAAGAAATACAAAAGTGGACAGATTACCATCCTTTTGGAGAAAAGAATATAGTCCAATCGAAGAAGTTAAAGAAAAATAATACGAGGATCTAACTAGTTCTGTAAAACAAGAAGAATAGAAGATACTTTAAACCAAACCAAAAATAGCTCCGCCCCAGGAATATCTGGAATACCTTACCCTCTGCTCAAAAATGTAGAAAAATTTGCAAAAAGCATCTTTATCGGTCTGGCCTCAGCATGTATAAAGACAGATAAAATCTCCAAGAAGTGAAAAATTGGAATGCTTTACCCGATACCAAAGAAAGAAGAATGGGGATACAAGCTCAATAATGTCAGACCTATTCTACTCCTGGAGACTTTTCGAAAATCGGTAGTAAGAATAGTAAACAATAGACTCGGCCAGGTACTAAAAGAAAAAGAAGTCCTTAAAGAACGAAATTTCGCAGGATTACCTGAAGAAGGAATGGCTATGCCAATACATCTACTAAATTATATTCTAGAAGATGCTAAAGAAAAGAAAAAAGAGGTCTGGCTCTTTTTTCAAGATATGA